GACTACTACTACTACTACTACTACTACCGCTGCTGCTACTACTACTACTACTGCTACTTACTACTACGACTTATTATTACTACTACTACTGCTACTAATACTTATACTTCACAAAATACACTACGACTTACTACTACGGGACTTACTACTTAACTACTACTACTACTAACTACTACTTACTACTACTACGACTACTACTAATACTAGCTAAAAACCAATATTAACCACTACTACTAATAACTTACTGACTTATGCTACTACTACTACTTTTTACTTACTACTACTACTTACTTTACTACTACAACTAAACTTACTACTACTACAAACTTACTACTACTACTACTACTCTACTGTTTTTAACTTACCATCACTACTACTACTATCTACTACTACTTACTACTACTACTACTACTACTACGCACTAATACTAATACTACTACACTACTACTGCTGCTGCTACTACTATACTACTTACTACAAAAACTACTACTACTGCCTAACTACTACTACTACTACCATCACTACTACGACTACTACTACGACTACTGCGACTAATACACCTACTACCCTCAAAACTACCGCCGCAACCATTACCAACCACGGCCACTTTACTACTACGACTACGACTAAGACCACTACAACTACGACGACTACTCTCACGACCAGCACTACTACTATGACTACTAATGCTACGAGAACTACGACTACGACTGCGAGTACTACTGCTACTACTACTACTACTACTACTACTACTACTACTACTACTACTACTACTACTACTACTACTACTACTACTACTACTACTACTACTACTTACTACAACTAATACTACTACTACTACTACTACTACTACTACTACTACTACTACTACTACTACGACTACTACTTCTGCTACTACTACTACTACTACTACTACTACTACTACTACTACTACTACTACTACTATTACTACTACTACGACTACTACTACTACTACTACTACTACTACTACTAACTACTAACTATTACTAACTACTACCACTACCACTACCACTACCACTACGGCTACGGCTACGGCTACGACTACGACTACGACTACGACTACGACGACGACGACGACTACGACTACGACTACGACTACGACTACGACTACGACTACGACTACGACTACGACTACGACTACTACTACTACTACTACTACTACTGCTGCTGCTACGACTCCTCTCTCCTCCTCGTCCTCCTCCTCCTCCTCCTCGTTTCCATCAGGTTCCATCCTGCTCGGCGAGGAGTCTTCCCCATTCTGCCTCTCGGCATGGCCGTGTGGGGGTGGGTCTTCCCCAGTAGGCCTCTCTGTGTAGCTGCGTGGGAGTAAGTCGTCTGTTGTCTTCCTTCCAGTCACGGCGAGCTGGACTTCAGATCCGGACTCGTGCTGGTCTGTGTGTGTGCCTTGAGGTTCGAGCTCTCCCTCCTCTGGAAGAACAACAAAACTGCATAAGCATCAACTGTCGGAGGTCCGAGCGGAGTTCTTGGGTCGGCGCTAGACCCCCCTCTCATATGCCCTCCCGTAGCACACGACAAGGGCGGCGCCGCTGAAGGCAACGCCATGGGGTCCTGGCGCCGATCGGAGAGAAATCCGCGCCGACCTCCGAGTAATCTTGTACGTGGCAAGTAGTATTCAACGGTTCCTCTTGCTCCCAGCTCCTTTTTGGAATCGTGCCACATGTGCTCCACCGTGGGTTCAACCAAACGTCACAACAGCGGGCACTGCGCACTGGATGAGCAAGAGGAGGAGGAGGAGGAGGAGGAGGAGGAGGAGGAGGAGGAGGAGGGGAACAGGCTGGGGGAGGCGGGCGAAGAGCCAGAGGGACAAGGAGGAGGAGGAGGAGAAGGAGGAGGAGCAGGACGAGGAGGAGGAGGAGGAGCAGGGAGGAGGAGGAGGGAGGGGAGGAGGAGGAGGAGGAGGAGAAGGGAGGAGGTGGGAGGAGGAAGAGGAGGAGAGGAGGAGGAGGAGGAGGAGGAGGAGGAGGAGGAGGGAGGAGGGAGGAGGGAGGAGGGAGGAGGGAGGAGGAGGAGGAGGAGGAGGAGGAGGAAGGGAGGAGGAGGAGGAGGAGGAGGAGGGAGGGAGGGAGGGGAGGAGGGAGCAGAAGGAGGAGGAGGAGGAGCAGGGAGGAGGAGGAGGAGAGAGCCCGCGCGTGCGCACGCCTGCAGGCCCCCTCCCCCCCTCGGAGGAGGGCCGGAGGAGGCAGCGGTGGCTCTCCCGCTGGGGCCAACTCCCCAGGCCCGTCCCCGGGGGTCCATCCTTGGTCGGGGATGGGCAGACCTCCCTGCAGTAAAACCTGGAGCGCCCTAGGGGCGCCGCCAGAGGCGGCGCCAGGGTGTTGAGACCGCGCCAGACTAAATTACTCGGGGTGCTTGTCGAGGCCAACTGGCATCACTCGGGGGGCCTGTTGAGGCCAGCCAAACATACCGGCATACCTGGCGAGGCCCTCTGTGCGCAACCCGACGCCTTGCCAGTCCTCAGCGACTGGATCTCTCGAGGCCCTAGGGCGCTCCAGGCCCTAGGGTCGGGGTTAGTGAAAACGACCTCGGGCCCAAACCTGGCGGGCGCAAGCCTGGAAAGTAACGGCCGCGGCGCCCTCTCGAGAACCGAAAACGGACAATTCACTAATCGACGTGTCAGGGTAGGAGGTCTGTCCACCCCCGACTTGGGGAGCTCGACCAGAAGCAACCTTCCACAAGAACCCCAAATCGTCCGCACGCAAGGAGTGACCCTGCGTACAGTCCAGCCCGTGTAGTGATGATGCGCGGCAAGGATGCAAGGGCCTTGGACGCCCATTTCGAAGCTCTTCGAGCGGGCCGCGGCCAACGAAAGCGGCCAAGGAAGGGCCGAGAAGGCAAGGATGCAAGGGTGGGAAGGTTGCCCATCCTTACTATGCGGGTTGACTGTAAGAGTGACCTTTGGTGCGCGGCTTTTGGGGGGCCACGGGAGGAACCAACACGAGCGCGCAAAACGCCACTATCGCGTCGCCTTCGGCGATCGCGGGACCACAGTGGGCACGCCTCAAAGGTCACTCTGGCGAAAGGCCACTCTGACGTCTATTCGACCCAACCCTGAGACCCCAGCATGTCCATGGATTTGTGGGGATGGGGACGTCACGCTGTCCATAGCGGGGCCATCGAAACCCAAGAAACCCGGGGCACCCCAGAGGCAAGCAGGGTGTTTCTGGGCATGGGTTTCCACCGTATGTTTCGTAGAATGACCCAAAATGCCCCCGGGGAAACCAAAAAGGTACCGACACCGCTACTCCCCGGACCTCTCACCGGGTGAGTTCTGACCAGAGCTTCGAGGCGAATCCAGCGGTGGCGACGAGGGCCTCCCAGAGGCCAAAAAGGGGAAAACAAGTGGGAAGGTCGACGGCGAGCGCGGGGGGAAGTCAGAAGGAGAAGGCCTTCTCAGAAGGTTCGGAAGTCCCCCAGCCTTCTGAGAAGGTTTCTAAGCCTTCCCCGAAGACGGAGCAAACTTCTCAGAAGGCGCGAGGGGTTCTGAGCTGTCCCGCTGCCTTGCGAGAAGGCCTTCGCCTTCCCACTTCCCCCCCTCGCTCGCCGCCGACAGGGGTAGAGGCATGGGCACCTTTTTCCTCCTCCGAGTCCTGACATACAAGTGCTGTCGAGTCGGGGATCTTCTGACCCGGGTCAATCCAGACCCGGGTCAGCAGGAAACCAAAAACTGCAGTGCAGGAAAAAAACCTGCAACGCAGATCTTCGCAAACCCGGGTCAGCCAATACGCGCGGTCGCCTCGCGGCCACGAGCGGCTCGCTAACCCGGGTCAGCCAGAGGGGGTCTTCGCAGGATCCTGCAGGATCTGGCGCCCTGGCTGACCCCCGTTTGCAGCGACCCCCGTCTCTTGACCCAGACCCCCGACGTCATGATTTTTTCATTACGTCGACCCCTGGAAGTCTCGACCCATTCCCCTGGACCGGCTTTTCATCCTGAGTCGTTTTTTGACGGTCCCGAGGGCCGGGAAGGGCCCCCAGAGGCCGAAAATTACAAAAAACCTCCCGTCGTGATTTTCTCATTGCCCGAGGAGGTCTGGGGAGCCCTGGCTCACCCCCGTTTGCGCTGACCCCCGTCTCGAGGCTCCCGGTCGAGGCAGATCCGCCCGAGGCCGGCGAGGAGCCCCTCTCCGGGAGGCCCCCGCAGGGCGAGGGGCCGCCCGCGAGAGGGCCGCCAGCGGCCTCGGCGGGCCCGTCTCCCAGGCCTGCGCGCGGGGGGGAGAGGGCGGGGAGCCACCCCGGAGGGCCCTCCGAGAAGCCACTTGGCCCCCACCGGTGCTCCCCCCCCCCTGGGGGGCCGTAGGAGACGAGGAGGAGGAGGAGGAGGAGCAGGAGGAGGAGGAGGAGGAGGAGGGAGGAGAGAGGAGGAGGAGCAGGAGGAGGAGGAGGAGAGAGGAGGGGACGAGGAGGAGGAGAGAGGAGGAGGAGGAGGAGGAGGAGGAGGAGAAGAGGAGGAGGAGGAGGAGGAGGAGGAGGAGGAGGAGGAGGAGGAGGAGGAGCAGCAGGTGGAGGAGGAAGAGGAGGAAGAGGAGGAAGAGGTGGAAGAGGAGGAAGAGGGGGAAGAGGAGGAGGAGGAGGAAGAGGAAGAGGAAGAGGAAGAGAAAGAGGAGGAGGAGGAAGAAGAGGAGGAGGAGGAGGAGGAGGAGGAGGCCTCGCCCGCGCGCGCATCGGCCCCGAGGCTGGCCAACCTCCGCCCCCCATTTCCCCGATTCCTGCTGCTCCTCCCTGCTTCCTCCCTTCCTTCCTCCTTCCTCCCGCTCCAAAAAAAAATTGGAGCGGGCGGTCTTGGGCTGCTTTCGGCCTCTGGGTGCCCTCACCAGGCCTTGGGATCGTCAAAAAACAACCCGGGACAACAAACCGGCCCTCTAGGATGGGGTCCAGAGCTCCAGGGCCCGGGCAGCGGAAAAGTTGGAGCAGCCGGATGTCTGTGTCCTTCCAGCCCCTTCCCACTGGCCCGAGCGCATGTCCGCGGGGCGTAGTCCACGGTCAGCTGGATGTGATCCACGCCCTGGGAGTACCACGGCGCCTGCGAAGAGTCCTTCGGGATTTTGTTAAGCTGCTTGCCAGGCGGGAAGCCGACGAATGGAATGTAGCCGCCGAAGTCAACGGGGTAGCTGAACGTCCTCGGGCTGATCCACACCTCTGCCTCGGGGGCGAGGGGAGGTGGGGAGAGGGGCGGCGGACGCAAAGACAGACCTGGCCACCATTGCAAGGAAAGCGGAGGGACACAGAGGGAGCGGCCGGAAGCCGAGCAGAAACGAGCGGCAGTGGGAACGGTCAGCTCCTTCTCCTACTCCTCATCCACCCCTCCTTCACTCTATCCCCCCACGCCCACCAACGATTTCGCACTCACATCCATATTTCACATCTCTGGGATCGTGATCCTACTCTTACATGTAAGCCAATTCGATACAGTAAGCACCTGAACAACATGTCCGCCACCGTGCCCGCGCGGAGTGGGCGTGGTAAAATGCTCATGTGCTCCCTCTGGGCTGTTTTTGAACGGTTTCCAAGGCAGACACCCTCCCCGGTTCGCGCGCGGGATAAAAGAATCGCCCCCCATGAAAATGCTTCCCAGCGCTCTTTCGGCCTCCAAACGGCCAAGATGGACTCCAGCACAGCTTCCAAGACAACCATGACGACACCAAAACTGCTCAAGATGGCCCAGGACGGCCCAAGAGGCTCTCAAGACGGCCTCTGGACGGCCCAAAAGGCCCCCCAAGACGGCCCAAGAAGCTCCAAGAGGCCTTCTTGGAGAGCCCGAGGGGGCCAACAACATTGCTTGGCTGTGGGTTGTGTTTTAAGAATCTTGAGGTTCTCGCCTTTTCGTGCTTCTGACCGCCAAAGACGGCCCAAGAGGCCTCCACGAGGCCTCCGAGTTGACTCCAAGGCAACCCAGGAGGCCCCCAAGAGGGCTCAAGTCGGCCCAAGAGGACCCAAAGATCGCCCAAGGGGCTCCCAAGAAGGCCCCAAGACGGCCTTGAACCACTCCGAGAGGGCACCAACACGGCCCAGAGAGGCCCCCCATGAGCGTCAGACGAGCCAAGAGTCCCTTGAGACGGCCCAAGAAGTTCCAAGAGGCCCCCAAGAGGACCCATGAGGCCTCCAAGAGGCCCCCAAGAAGCTTTCAGGAAGCTCCCAGGACGCCCCCAGGAGGCCCCAAGAAGGCCCTAAGAATTTCCTCTTCCTCCTCCTCCTCCTCCTCCTCCTCCTCCTCCTCTTCCTCCTCCTCCTCCTCATCCTCCTCCTCATCATCATCCTTATCCTCCATTAATTTTCCTCATGACTAACTCCTCCCTGTCGCACCCCGAGGCCAGTCGGAAGGGCGGGCCGGGCGTTTCGCCAGAGACTTCCTCACCTTTAAAACTGTGGCTCTCGCCTTAGCGCCGCGCACATTCAATTGAACAAATTGCAAGGGCTTCACGGATAGAGGGCGGGTGCTGTTCTCAACGTGGCTCTTGCCTTAGCGCCGCGCACATCCGTGTTAAACATCGGATTGAGAACAGGTCGTTTTCATAATGTGCCTCTCGCCTGAGCGCCGCGCATATTCGTTTTACAACCAGCAAGAGATTCATGGATGAAGGGCGGGTCGTTTGCAAAATGTGGCTCTCGCCTTGGCGCCGCGCACATTCCTCATCAACAGTGGCAACGGTTTCACGGATGGAGGGCGGTTCCTTTTCAACATCTGGCTCTCACCTTAACGCCGCGCACATTCCTTTCAAGCTCTGACAACTATTTCACGGAGTCTCACGGTTACAATGTCCCAGAAGTGGTGTTTTGGCACGATTTCGGACAGTCAGGGCGCAACAGTTACGACGAATCGTGGTGTTGCAGTCCCAGACGGTGTTCTGGCACGACTCAGCATCTTCAAGGCGCAACAGTAACGGCGACTCGCGGCGTTAAAGTCCCAGGAAATGCTGTTCTAGCACAGCTCAGGACTTTCAAACGGTTGTTTTCCAACGGGGCACTTCATCCAGTGAAGATGCATCCTTGTAGGGGTACATGAGGAGGGAGCTTGGAGGGAGGGTTGATGACAACATCGTTAATGAGCCTTGGGTTTACACAGGTCATCCTCCTCCTCATCATCCTCCTCCTCGCCCTCCGCCACCCCTTCCTCCTCGTCCACCTCCACCTCCTCGTCCTCCTCCTCCTCCTCCTCTTCGTCTTCCCTACTGCGCGGACGAAGATGAGGTCGGGATCAAGACCCGCCCCAATGCAAACTGCTCGTCGGAATTGCGCTGTTCCTACACTCAGCCTCCTTCCTGCGAAGTAGTTGTACTGGCACTGTGGCGGGGTGTACCGCAGGCAGCTGGCCACCCCCCCCCATTTCCTTATCCACACAAGCATCGGCATCCTCCTCCTCCTCCGCCTCCTCCTCATCATCATCAGCAGCGGCATCAACATCAGCATCGGCATCATCATCATCATCATCATCATCATCATCAGCAGCATCATCATTATACCCATCATCATCAGCAGCATCATCATCATCGTCATCATCAGCAGCAGCATCATCATCATCATCAGCATCAGCATCATCTGAATCAGCATCAGCATCCTCATCCTCAGCATCATCTTCAGCATCATCCTCATCATCATCAGCATCATCATCAGCATCAGCATCCCCGTCAGCATCATCATATTCCTCATCAGCGTCAATATTATCAGCATCAACATCATCAGCATCATGATCATGGTTGGTCTGGTCCGCAACCGCTTCATCTCTAGACTTCTAGCTGGGCACGGGTGCTCAACCAACTGAGAGACGTGGCCCCGCAGCAGAGCCGCCGTGTGTTCAGGCAGAACTCTCGAGATGGCCGCAGTGCCATCGATTGTTTTTTGTCGCAGAAACATAATCATCTCAAGGCTGTCGAATAGTCCGATTAGCAGCGGTCGTCAGATTGTTCAACCCGCGTTATTTCATCCTCATCCACTCCGTTTACCTCTACATGTTCAAGCGTGAGTTGTTTGACACAGGTTGTCTGGATATAGGTATGGTGCGAGGACTTCTTAGTGTACCTTCTCTTCGTGGCTGTGCCTGTGACGTACGCCTCTGAAGCGCGAGTGGGCATATGGAGACCGTCGTCATTGCGCGTGCACCGTCTCTTCAGACGTGTGCGTGTGCCGTACACGACGGGAGCGCGAGTGGGCACTTGCGTGACGTGACGCTCAGTACTAGTCTGCTCAGCTGGTGAAGTTGTTGTTACGATGCCTACTACGGTGAAGTGGCCGCGACCCACGGTGTACAGCGCATGGGCCCAACAAGTCATCCAACCAATTCGAGCACACAACTCTCATCCAGGTGATCGGTCCCCCTCCGTTGTTGCTGAATGGGTTCGTGCTCGAATGCTGATGACCTGCGTCGTGGGCCTCTGCGAAACACTATTCCGTATTTTGCAAGCCATTGTTCCTGATCACTTGCGTATTGGGCGATATGGTCGAGCAGGTCATCCCGTGCTGGCGCTAGTAACTCAAGGGATGGCGTTCGCCCAACTCCGCAAAGCGTTATATGCCCCAACATGTCCACGGTGGGCTCGTCGAGCTCTCATGGCAATGCCAAGCGAGATGGCGTACCACATCTACCATGGTGCGTTGGAGTGGTTCGAGTTTCAGCAAGGGAATGCTCTCCAAACACTTGGTTCAGGCGCAGCAGTATACTTCTTTTTCGGCCACAGTGGTATCTACACTGGCAAGGCGAATGTTGCTCGTGCCAAATCTCGTCCAGGACTCCCTGAAAGGTGTGCTGAGCAAAAAAAGCGCTGCGTGGATTTTAGTCACGTCGTGATTCAGAGTTGCCTCGGTACGGTTCTCTACGTAAGTCTGTTGGTAGCATCGGTTTCTTACCAGTGGTGTGGTGTCATACGGAGGTCCAGGCGCTCACGGTCGAGCGGGCTCTCATTCAAATGATTCGTCCAGGCTGGAATGGTGCAAATTACCGCTTACTTCAGAATGTTCGGCGTCAAGGCGTCCGCGTTCGCCCTGATCGAGCGGAGCCTCGGAGTCGTCCTGTTCCACGTTCTAGGTCACGGGCTACAGGTTCAGTGGACCACCACGATTTTTCAGGACGTGTTGCGCAGGAAACCTTCTCGGCCATCCACACATCCATCGAAGACCCGCGGCAGTTTCAAAAAGCTCTACCTGCTCCACTTGCGGTGCATGGTTCACGGGGAGTCTGGCCCGCTTAACGTGTTGGACCGTAACCCGCTGTACCTCAACATACGTTTGGCGTACTGTGCCTTAAAGAATACGAACATCGTGTTTCCATCGCCCTGGTTCATGTGGCAGAAGGCAGAGTACATATATGAGCTTGCAGGGGAAATCAAGACGCGTATGGGTGGCTTCTCGTCTCAATGTGTTGCGAATGCGCATTTGAATAAGCTGTGTCATCGCCTAGGTTTATCACCAATTTCACTTACTCCAGTTGTGATTCCACGTGAGCTGGTTCGGCGTCTACACCTGCTCCGTCGGCTGTTTCAAGTGGCATTGCAAGAAGTGAGATGTGAACCTGCTCGTCGGCAGCTTTGTGCTCATCTTAGCGTACTCCCTGCGAAGGGTACGGTTTGGGCTGACAAGTTCAACGTCAAGCGAGTTCTTTGAAGGCTATGTCACGCAGACTTTCACCGTGTACCGCCAGAGGCTCTTGGTCGATTGGCTACGGCACCAACGTCATCTGCCCACTCTGGGCCGTGGAAGTTGCCAGTGTGGCCATCTCTTCCCCGCCTTCGTCGTATGCTGCAAACTGCCTGGCACACGTGGGGGCATCGTCATAGGCTGCACCCTCGTGTTCAGCGTCGTATTCGTCGTGCTCTTGGCGAGGAAGTTCAAGTTCTACCTGCTCCAGTGAGTCCTGGTCCATGGGCTGAATTAGAGGAGCGCTTTCAAGAGATCGTTCGCCTTCGCGGAGCTTTGACTTGGAACGATCGTGATTCGACCAAGGCGTGGCTTATTGAGCGTGGTGCAATTGGCCCGTGCTTAGTTCACAAGATGCTGGCTGACACGTCCCTTTGGCGGTATCACCCAGAGCTTCGTCCGCGTGATGTTCTCGCTTGGTATGATGTTCGTGGCCGTGTGGGCCTTCCCGACTTCCTGGCCCACCGGCGAGGCTTCTTGAGCACGAACGTCTCGCCGCCCACGCTCTTCCCCTTC